TAGACTTCGACTTTATGAGTCCACTACACTCACACGCCTCGTGGGGCAGTATTAGATTATGAATTTGGTGGTATCTTTGTCAAATGACCATATGATTAAGTCATTATAATATAGAGATTATTGAAAAGTATGCATTATATGATTATATTATGAGACGAAATTATGAGACAAAGAATAGTGGCCATTGACTGACTTACTTGCAGCCCAATCCTCTACGTATCTCTGTCTTTCTTCCCAAGAAATTTGCGTACTATGAAACAACTTTCCAAGAAATCCTCTAAAAGTTTTAATAATTTTTGTTTTCGTGTACCAAAAAGATCTTAACCCCAAAAAATGATAATTTACTTGTTGGACTATGCGTTGTGACAAATCGATCTTATAAACGTAAAAAGTTGACAAAGAATCGATCTTAATAACATTGTTTAGTGTGTACATGTATCGAGAATTAGTTTTTGGTTTCGATTCAAAATTTATTCAGGTTACTAAATTTAAGACCATCCACGTTGGAGACCAAATGTGGATATTTCTAAATAAAAAAAATATTAAAAACACACTCTCTCTTTCTTTTACTCAACTTTATACTTTCTTTTTCATCTTTTTACTCAATTTTTATTAATTTTATATTTAAACACACTCCAACTTTCATCAATTTTCTTTCTAACTTTGTCTTCCCCGAGACATACTCCCTCCAATAATACTCACTATCTCATATTTTTACTCAAATTTTATTAATTTTATATTTCAATACATCCCATTATTTCAACTAAAAATATTATTTTTTTTCTTTTATTCAGCTTTTAATAATTTTATATTTAAAAACACGTACAAAATATCTCCAGGATGCTCTCACAAAAGATTAATATCCAAAAATTTTACAGCCACACGTGAAAGACAACAAAAAGGCAAATGCTAACGTCAGACAGACATATGGATAGTATGGTTGAATAGTCAAAATACAATTTGCTTTGGAAAAATGGGCTCACCCCTCTAAAGCAGTCTTTTTGAAATGACTAATGAGACTTCTAAAGTAAATAAAGAAAGAATAAGAAAATAGAAATTCAACAAATCGAATTAACAATTTTAAATGTGAGTTATAGAGAGTTTGTTTTTTAGTTAACTTGACTAACTTTTTATCTTCTTAATGCTAATATGCCATCATTTAAATTTAAATTTAAATTTTGAATGAGTTATGAATGTTAAAAAAACAATTTAGTAAAACTAGAGATAAATTTACATACAAATATCTTAAGTGTTGTTTATAACTCAAAATACTTGGAGAGGGATAATAAAATTTTCAATTTTAATTTAGCATTTTCTCTAATTGTTCCATTAATTCATTAACAAATTTTGTTTTTCTTCCTTAAAATTAGTAGTATCAATATCTCTCGTTGGCAACAAATCAGCCCAATAGGGAAAATAAAACCTTGTAAACAGAATATCCTCTTTTTTTTTAAGCTACAATTTGATTGTAACAAAATTTGATTTTGCAACATAATAATGTGAAGGTCTATCAAAGATGATCCATGAAACGCCAAAAAACGAAAAGGAAAAAAGAGGAACCTTTGCGGCACCAACGTCGTCATCATCCTCTGGTGGGGCTTTGAGAGGACGGCTTTGGGAGTGTTCTCCAAGGGATTCAGACTTACATCGACGAGTCAAATCTCTGCACTCTCGTTCTATAAGTACTGTCCTCGTTGAAAAGCTTGATACCAAAATCATTCAAGATCCATTTGCTCAAATAATCGAGAGACACAA